AGCCAACACACCACCGTCCATACTCCCCTCATTCCTGAAACCCACCCCCAATGGCGTACAGCAGATGGGAAGCTGCATGGTCGATCTTACCTGAAAATCTTCTTTTGCCCTTGCGTCTACACTGGAACACCCTGGAAGTCTATGTTGATGGCACTCCTGTCCAAGCTTTCATCGACACGGGCACTCGCATTTTTGTTATGAGCGCAGATTTTGATCGGCGCATGAACAAGATCCTTACGCCACCCTTGACCAGTGTGGTACAAATCGCAGGACGGAGGCACAGTGCCTCTCGTAGGAATGTGTACTGCGCAACTTAGCGTTGCAGGTAATCAGGTGGTCATCCTGTTTACTGTTCTTGCCACATGCTCTCACGACCTCATCCTTAGGCTGGATTTTCCCGCCGCTGATTCCACGCTCAAGGATTGCTCCAACGGTGTGTTCCGCCTTGAACTGCCTCAACACAGTGACCTCCCATTTGAACCATCGTGCCGATTGAATTGCAGCGAATTCATTCATGTAGGCTCGAAACTATTACCTACGTTGACATGCAATGTTCACCACCTGTACCAAATGGCGAGTATAACGCTGCACCCATTCCCAACTTGCTGCTCACGAATTACGCTGCTGTTCTCTATACGGTTCTCAGCACCACGGCTTATAGAACCTGACTACCCGTAATGAACTTCGGTTTCACAGGTCAAGTGCTCGAACGAGGCATATCCGTAGTCAAACTCCGTTCGCTGCTGAATTCACAGGTCGAAGCTTTCGCTCTGGATGCCATTGTTTTTGCACACCACCCACCTCTGAGAACAAATTGTGGCAGCCGTCATATTTTAAAAATGATCACTGCTGAACTTCCATCTGAACATGTTGAAGCCATCGAGAGTATTTGGTGATCGACTTTTAGACCAGACGTCCGATGTCCAGCATCGCATACACACTGACGATGACAACCCTGTTCACCACCGCCCCTACAGGGTGTCTGCGTCGGAACGGGGTACCATTCAGCTGGAAGTAAACGAGATGCTCGCGAAGGACAATATAGAGCCGTACTATATAGAGTCTCTGGACGTCTCCGGTATTGTTAGTTAAAAAAAGAACAGGTCATGGCATTTATGTGCGGACTATCGGCACCTTATCATCATCTCCACGAAAGACGCCTACTCTCTACCATGAATTGACGACGCCCTTTATGGTCTGCACGGTGTCTTGTACTTTTCTTCTATCAACCTTCCTTCCGGATACTGGCAAACTGGTGTGGACCACGAGAACCGATAGAAGGCAGGCTTTGTAACACCAGATGGTCTCTCTACCCGTTCAAGTTCACGCCTTTCGGCCTCTGTAACGCCCCAACCACATTCGACTGAATAATGGACTCCTTGCTTCACGACTTTAAGTGGTCCACGTTTATGTGTTATTTAGACGACGTCGTTGTGTTTACGCCCACCTTCGAAACTCACCTTCATAAACTCACAGCTAATATTGGCGTGTTCCGTTTTGCCAAACTTCAGCCGCATTCATCCAAATTCCGGTTCGGGTGCCACCGTATTACGATCCTTGGGCATATTGTTGATACATCTGGCGTACAGCCGCGAATGATTTCCCTGCGCCGACAACTTTCAAGGACGTTCGCAGCGTAGTGGTGCTCTGCTTCTACTTTCGGCGGTTTATCAAAAACTTCACCAAAATTTTCAGAGCTCTCACGGACCTGCTCAAACAAGACACCCCCTCTAGGTGGGGTTCTTCCCAAGCAGCAGGTTTCTCCAAGCTCGTCACCCTGCTCATGTCCTCCCCTGTTCTAGCCCACTTTGACCCTTCAGCACCGACGGAAGTCCGCACTGACGCCAGTGGTCACGTAATCGGCAGGCAAGGCCACATGCCCGTGTTCAAACCAGTCGAAGAATGCCTGATAACTTCACGACTAGCCATGTTGAGATCATGGCGTTGATGACCACTAGCTGGTCTCATGCATAATGTCACGTAACGGTATCTCATGCCACTCGTACTACCACAAGTGTCCCACCACCAAGAGAGGGACCTGTATCGACATTGCCTTCCCCAACCAGCAACTACAACCTCTCATATAAGGTGCCCTTGCCACGCACTTCACCAACCACGAAATTGTAATTTCCAAAAGAAAACATGTCGCACAGCACTGTATTCAATCATCTAATCCTTGTATATAACTTCATTTATATGCAAATGATTACATATTGTGTATATTAAAATGTATATAATTCTATTGATATATAATCAATTGGCGGCGTATCTCCGTGCTTCGCTGCAAAGGCCATCGAAAGACGGTAGTCTTATGTCGGGAGGCATGGATGGATTGATATGGCTGTACCCTTTAGATGGGGCAGTGGCTAACGCCACCTAGCCGTAATACTGAGTGAACCAAAAACTAGATTTATCTTTTTTCAGTTAAATACTGAAGTTGAGTACTGGTATTTTGATGTGAAGGGTTTAATTTTCATTCGTGCTTTGATTTTACCCACCAATCAGATAACCTTCTTCTAGTTAATTCTACCCGCCTGAAGTATATTCTTCCCTCCCTGTCCCTAATTCCCAGTGCTTTGAAAAACTCTGCGCCATCATCCTGAACTATATGGTTAAGCCCTTTACAGAACATTATCAAGTGTGCGGCAGTTTCCTCATCCTTTCCATGGGCACTGTGTGAGATATGGCTCCATCTGGCAGTAATGCGAAAAAATAAAGCTATTTTTAGAACGCAGAGCCACTAGTAGGTGGCAGTACTAGGTCATTTCAGTTCAAGCCCCGGAATGTTTTAGCGAAGCATAGGAAACACTCTCTTTTTCGTTTACAGCATTACATTGCCAGCGCAGTGTAATAAACACTTAGGTATTCAGAATTGAGTGTGTATGTATTTTTTACACGAAGAGACACACTGCCTAACACGATCTCAAGTATGCGTAATTTTTGCTTTCTGACTGACAATTTCGCAAGTGTAAATGCAGCCCCCAGATCAAGATCAAGAAGAGTGGGCTCTGAGCCCGGGCTTAAACTTTCTTCGGGTGGTTCAATCGTTGGGTAGGCACCAACAGACAGACAAAATTTTTTTCGTTTAAGTATCTTAAAGGGACACTAAAGCCAACTATTAAGTCGACGTTTATTGTTGAAATGGCGGTCCAGAAACCTCTTAGTGTTACTTTTTTGCCAACGAAGGGCCTATTTTGAAATCAAATCACGTTTTAGTGCTCCACGTCGGATTAGTGCCCTTCAAATTACCCGCCTCAAGAAGCGGACCGACCGGACCGTCTCACGTTACTGTTGTCGTGCACAACGTTGCCCGGCTTTACTGCCCTAGCATCAGCAGACCGGAAGCAGCGGGAGCCACAGCAGCAGCAACGGCCATTGATCAATTTCCCTTCACTGGCTATGAGATTGCAGACTTTTTTGTTTCAACTGCGCCCTGATAGATGGCACCACCTTTCCCGTGTAACCACGCGAAAATAGAATTTTTGAACCACTCGCGCCATTCCCCATATTAACGTCTGGCGGTTCTTTTTTCATGAATCAAACAGAAGCGAACAAGCAGCATTTTAATGCGTATCTTAACGCATGGAACGTTGTTTATTTAGTGCAGTTAGATTGATTACTAGTGAATAATTCTAGGTGGTCTGTCTGATGTTATCGGGATCATTTTTAAAATGTCCTACTGCGGTGCTTGCGTTCTTGTTCATTCACTTTCATTTCTCGGTAAGTAGGGCACTGTTGTTGATAATATAGTCGTTTTAGATGTTGTCACACATCGAGCTTTCATTCTGACGTAAATTGTCATTTGACTTTATTGTCCCTTTAAGAAAGACTATCGCCTTTAATAATCAACATTTTGTATTGGAGTGCGTATATAGTCACCCACTGACAAGGTGTCGAGTCTTTATGTGATGCGTGGGTGAAAGTTTCACGATTTTATCAATAATCATTGTAGCTTTACCCCACTCATCATCATTCACTTGGCGGAGAAGCGGGATTTTTTAGGTGATTCTAGTTGGTAATGCAAGTTACGTAATAAAAAGGCACATTGTGTGCGATAAAATACGGTGTCTGCGTCAAGAGAGTTTCTTCTGGCCCTTGTAAATGTGACGAAAACACGAGTAAAAGTACCCAAGAGTAAGGGCGTATTCGAAGCACTTCGTAGTGCGTAAAAAGAGCAGAAACATGCTCTACGGATAATAGGAAACTGTTAGTAAAGAGTGTATTTGGGAAAACAACTGTTACGTTATTAACTACTGTATCACTTTACGAGATCCCAGAGCATACAAACTATTTTTGTACTTTGGTAACAAAGAAAGCGACATTGTTCTGTGTTCTGCTTTCAAAAATTTAAGATATTCAGAAATACCGCAACCCATTTAAGAAGAAGGCTTGAAGGTCCTAGAAACTAATATTATTCTAATTAAAGGAGAAAACTTAGAGCGTAATATGAAGTCAGGTCACACGAGATTGCGTGTAGCAACCGCAAGTAAAGTACTGTCATAGATGACATATACAGCGTACACTATCATACACTGTCACTCTACAGGAAAGAGAAAATTGTGATTATGATAAAAAAACCTCCACTGAAAACACGGGAGTCGGCAGGACCTTGTCTTGGGGAGTGGAGGTCCACTTTGCAGCGTGGCTGGAAGAAGAATAGGGTGCATAAGCAGTTTGAAGGGAGGGGGCGGGGACGTACTGGTGGCATTTTCGGGTGATGGGGCAAGTGCTCCTTTTGCATTCTCCTGCCGACGCCTATGGATGAAAGCAAACTTGATGTTGCGCGTTCGCGATTTAATTAAGAGGATAAATGACGGCGCTTGTTTGTGCGTTGCCGTTTCAAATAATGTTACAGTATTTGTGCACAATGACCGTCACGACAGAATGAGGTGCAATAAGACTGAGAGCTGGGGTATAGTTGGTGACCGTTCAGTAGACCGTATGTTGTCCCCGTAAAAACTGCGCTGCTTCACCATACGGCGTAAGGGCGGAATGCTTACCGAGCAGATGTGCGGGTATCGGGCCGTCCGTTTTTATCTTGCCTCCGTAGACGTCGATCAGTTTCGCCCTGACGTAAGCGTGCAGTTGCTTGTACAGGGGCTCCAACTGCTTCCACAGACGCGCCATGCTCTCTTCGAATCCTTCGTACTCGTAAGTCTCCTGCCACATCTGGCTGGCGTCCTCGAAACCTGCGAGGAAAATTGACACTGTTCACATTAAAGTATACACAACTGCAAAATGCTAAGTCAGTCTGGACTGATGAATTAGTCGTGACGAACGTTGTTTCCGCTGATTTTGCCAGCATACGTCTATAACTCGACAGAAAAAGGTCTTAATTTTGTTTTCTCAAGTTGCACGCTGAAACTCTAAGATCCGAATGTCTGTGTGACCGTCACATTCTTCAAAACCATTTACAGCGAAAGATGTTATGAGATCACAACAAGGGTCACGTGCGCCATAGTTGTCCGCCGCCGCCGCCGCCGGGGTCCGTAACCACTATTGAGCAAAATAAGAAAAAAACAACTAAGCAAAAACACCAAAGACAAAGGAATTCGAACCCGGGTCCCTTGCGCGACATGGAGTCCGGTATTCTACCACTGAGCCGTGCAGGTGCTTGGCGCTACACTGCAAACTGGCCTTAGGCAGGCTTGATGTCGGTAAACGAATAGCGTTACTATGAGTACTAAAGTATTTCAAAACAGCAAAGAACAACAAAGCGTCACACTATGTGAATAGCATGCTCCAATCGAATCCAACCGAATGGTCCAACCCCATAATAAAAGCTTCAGGCATATCTTCATCGTCATAAGCCATCGCATCAAAAAATGGCACCAAGTTCCTCTCAAGTATGTAGCAGATACCACGTTTCTTTGAAGAATGACGTAGTCAGTGTCTCCCTATTGCACAAATATTATGATAATGAATGACGTAGTGGGTACCCTGCAAGTGTGATTGTACCAGTTACCCAAAGAGTGTTCAAAAAAGCCTCTGAAAAGCTGCTCTTCCAGCTTTAGCAGCGACTGTGCTGTGTGGTCAGCGCTGGCGGTTTTTATGTTCGTTTTTGGCCACATGGTCCTAATCAAATTTTGTTTGGGAAAGTTTCCATGTTGAATCTCTGGTTCCTTCGAATAAATTTGTATAAGCCCTAGCTGACGTCCTCAAATTATTAGATGTCATGAAAACTTGTTGCACAGACGTGAAGGGGGCGTATATTTTGCGTATTCTCCCATTTTACACGTTTTGTGTCGTACCAAGCTCCGTCTCGATCGTGGTGAGAATGATGCTATACGTAACTTGAAAGGTTAATTTGCTGACAAGAAATGGGCCGTCTTCATCTTCTCTCACTCCTAATAAACAGTACGACATCACGTATCGGGAGTGTCACGTGATTGGGAAGTTGGTCACACTGCAGCATGCTATTGAGAAACACATCGAAACGCGCCGAGCCAGCCCTCTTTTCGGATAACTTTAGTAAAGCTTGGACAAGGCTCAGCGAAGTATAAAGAGAGAAGTATACGTTAGATCTCATTGAACTGAAAAAGAGACAAGCACATAAATTGCTTGTCGATGAACAATTTTGGTTGCACATATATAAAATATGTTAACGCCAATTCGGTGCAAAGAGTAATTAACGCGCTAAAGTTGACGATATGGCTCAACTTTCCAACAGCGAAGCTGTTAAGCACGCCATAAAAACCCATGTACCCCGCAGGAAACCTCGCCACGCCATTCCGCCGTATTCAGAAACGCTCCTCGACTCGACTTTCACCCTTCACTTGACATAATTGAGCACTGCGCCACAGCTCGGCTCAAAAATGACGCTGCGCTATACAAGAATCGCAGAAAATTATCGCTGATATGCATTGCGGTGCCTAGAGATGGCGCCCCCATCGGCTTTCTCAAGTGAAGGTGAAGCGTTGAGTGAAGGGACGTTCTAGAATACGGGGGATTGTCTAACCACCGCCTGGTCTCGCCTTGCCTCGCTATCACGCCAGCTGATATGACGTCATACCTAGTTACTCATGCGCCGAAAAATAGCAATGACGAAGCAATCGGCAAGCCGCGCTCTTCTACGGAACCCGCCACGCCTGGCTACCTCCTACAGCAAATGTGACGTCATGCTAAGCCACGCATGCACCATGCACCACAGAAAGAGCTGTGAATCAGCGGCGTCAAAGCTACCGATGTGGCCAGGTATAAGCGGGCCAAGTTTATATAGGAGTTTCCCAGCAACCATCTAAATCTTCAAATACGTCATGAATATATGCTGCGCGCGTGCAAGCTTTCAAGATCGTTATAAGAGAGCTGCGCCTGGTCGTGCTGAGGTGCATTGTAACCACGGTTCGTTCCTGGAAGAACCGTTGACTGGAATAACCTATCGCGGAAATGTACGTGCTGCAGAACGAGAACGAGATCAGCGGCGGCGATCCGATCTAGCCTACTTGCCCAACAAGCAGGCGCAGCGCCACTGGGGGCGTTGATGGGTTGGCAGCCGCTCCTCTGCCTGCGTGCCGCCCTGACGAGAAATGTACTTCAAACACAACGCATAAGTTGAAATTAAGAATAAATGGCCATGGGCGGGGCACGTAACACGTAGACAGGATGGCAGCTGGTTGATATGGGCTGAGTGGATTCCCAGGAAAGCGAACGCGTGTGGGAGATATAGAAAATGGGGTATTTTTCTCTCTCTCTCTTTCTGTGCGTGTATCAAAAATTCCTTTATTCGTAACTCAATCAAAAGCCGGATATCGCAGCCGCATCACGCATTTCCCCCCGCACCAGCCATCTCATGCCACTACGTTTTCTGCTTCATTCTTCCTGAGAGTAGCTTCAGACTGAAACAACCTACCCTATGACATCGTCAACATTGCCGCATCACCTGATTTTTAAGACCGCATAACCGATCATCTGCAATGTTAATTGCATCATCACTGTTGGATTTTTCTTGTAATCACACTCCTTATGTAACACCCCCTGAATGGGAGCCCTTAAGGAAATAAAACTGAACTGATACAGTGTCAGTTTTTATTAAAGGGAACACGAGAACGTGTGGCCTGCGCACTCCGGCGGCTGCGTGCAGCACGTTCAAGTGGGAGTGAGAGCAATCAAAGCCTATCTTCGCGTCATCTCGGAGCGAGCAAAATAAGTACCCATTCATAATATGACACCAGCGGCGAAATCTCAACCTTCTTCCTCTTCACTGTGACTACACAGGAGGCCAGTAATCATCTTGCAAGGGGAGGGGCTGCAATCTTGCCACTGGTTCCATATCAGCAATGAATGATTCTTTTGCTCACCGCGAGATTACCGGAAAAGAGACTTTGGTTGCTCTCGCTCCCACTTGAACGCACTGCCAGCAGCCGCTGGAGCGCGCAGGCCACACGTTCCCGTGTTCCCTTTTCTTTTTTTAAATTGACACTGTACGTGCTTGCGTGCGTGCTACTCCACGGCCAGCGGACGAAAGCTTTATAAATTAATTATATATTTAAATTAACGCTGGCTACATATACAGAAAAAAACCGCCTATATTACTTCTCGTTGTCTTCTTTTTTTTTACGCCAAGGTCTTAGTTACACTGTAAAACAGTTTGCACCCTTAAGAGTGCAAAGTGGGTGTTTTTTGCCAAACCACATGACTAGAGTCTTAGGTGTTTTGCCGTTTCAAGACACATGTCATGGATGTTTTGGCATTTGAAGACACCCATGACATGAGTGTTTTGGTTTGCCAAAATACCCTTGCCGTAGGGTGTTAGTTATAGACGCGGCAAAGCACCCTTAAGGATGCAAACTGGTTTACACTGTATTTCCGTATTACAATGCGAAATGTTGAATTCAACAGATTGCATATTATGTAGGCAGCAAAAAAACATTTTTTTCTAAGGATGTAGTGATTGCAATACAAAACTAAACGTCGTAGAAATGCACACACACCAGACTGCGTTTAAGTTACTTGTAGTGGGCCAAGTAAGCGTTTCGTGCCCTTTTCCTACGCATTTATTTTATGAACACACACACTTTGGAGTGTTTGACTGCAGTAATGCAGATGAAAAAGCACTAACCATTGAGCTTCGCAGCCTTGTTCTCGAGCTCGACGTATCGCAGGAACTTCTCCTTGAGCGGCTTGCCTGACACTTTGCGCCACTCGTTCCACACGTGCAGCAGCTCGTCGTAGTCGCGGGAGTTCTCCAGTGTGTCCTTTATGACTGTCGTGTTTGCAAAATACACCAAACATAAATCGGAAGACGTTGACAAGAAAGAAGAAGTTTACCACTAAAAAGACAAAACGGACAAACCAACAAGCCAAAAATATCAAAATTAAGAGTAGTTGAGTAAAAAGTCAAAAGTAATGGACAAAAACATTTTTGAAAAAAGAATCGGTAGTTTAGTCCGGAAGGCGAAAAGCCGATATTGATAAAACGTATGTATTAAGTTAGTACTACATAATATAAGAATTGCTGTTTTACTGATATGGAGATCTCTAAACAACCGCTGAGCTTAAATTAATGTCACGAGTAAGGTGTACCAAGCGCACGCATGCAGGCACGAACAGGTGAAAATAGATTATCCAGAACACTTGCCTGCATAACTTTGTAACATCATCCAAGGTTTTATGTTTCAAAACCATGATATGACTACTAGGCACGCATATGAACCGGAAATTTTGACTAGCGATTCCCTATTTCGACTCTAGCACTTCGCCTACATCTAAATGTGACCGCTACGGCTGGAGTAGAACCCACGACCTCCAGGGCCACAGCCGAGTGCCGTAACTCCTGCACCACTGAGGTGGTCTAGCATAACAATGTGGAGCTTCATCGAAGTTGCGAAATAACACAACCACTAAACTACACAGGCTTGCGGTAATGCTTGAATCCCTGCTTATACTGGTTTCACAAATATGTTCGGAACACTGTCCCTGAGCTGCCGTTTTATTAATACACTGCCGGTTAGCATAACTGAACTTCATAATAAATGACGATAGTTATATCGCGAGAACAGAATGACGACCATGTCATACCAACTAGCCCAAACTGCCACACTTCCAAGTTCATAATAAAGTTTTGCCTTTCATGATGCATGAAATGCCGACTTACCCGGGTCCAGAGGTATGTTACACTTTTCAGGTGATGTGCAATTGCGTTTGAATGGGCATATCTTGGCCGATGCATGATTTTGGCTCATATCGGCGATTATCTGCACGAGCTGTAATGAGAAAAAGCCGGCGTCGTGTTGGCTGATAATTCGCGTTCATTGTTGAAAGTTGAAAGTTGAAAGTTGAAATTTATTTCACCACAACGATACACCGTGATTTACACAAACAAGAAACAATTGTGGCATGGAAAGTAGAAAAAAAGCTGCGCTATAGCAGCTTGACTAGCCCCACCTCCCATTTGTACAAGGCAACAGAAACAATGGCACACCAAACTCCATACGGTGCTCACGTATGATTGAAAGAAAAAAGAAAAGAAAATAACATTCTAGTGGTTGTTTATGAAGTACAGAATAGATGCACACTTGGGTGTTTACAAACAAACAATTATTGGGAAAAAAGGCAACCAAAATAAGACGCTATAACAGAAAGGGGTACACGTAAAATTTCATGCATTTACAAGTACTGGGTGCAATTACAAGTACTGGGTGCAGTTACTCCCCACATCTCTTACTCCAACGGTGAGGAGAACAAAATGACCTCTCTAATCAAAAGTCACGCAAAAAAGCAAAAATGTTTCCCGTTGTCGAATACTCAACATTTCAATGAAGTGTAGTGCTTTTGCAAAATATAACACACAGATGATTACTAAATGTCATTGCAGTGTAACCCATGGGCTTTTGTAACAAACGAATTAGGGTGAGACGGTTTAAAGGCTCTTAAGATGCGTGATTGTTGCAGCAGAGAGTACTGCACAGACAACTCACTCCTTATTCTAAATAGTGTGAGTGCCTTCGTTGCATGTCAGAGTAATATTCACATTTCCGGGACGGAAATGGCGTCAGTAAAGAGAACGCCAAAGTTCTCCGCGTCAGCGTAAGATGCCACTCAATTTATGCTTTCTGTTTACTTTAGGTCGCTTGACCTAGTTCCAGTTTCCGTTGGGCAAGCTCTATCCCAAGTAATAGTTAATATCGAGGACATGGCACAGAAAGAGGGCGAAAGGGACCCATTAAGATACGTGGTGCTGTGGCCGTCGGAGTATTGTGGAGTATTGGTTACAAAGACGAACGTGTGAAGGATCTTCATGGTATAATATATTAAACTCGTGCATAAGGGCGTGGTGCACCTGCTGTCCTGCACGCTAAAAAAAGTCAAAGCGTAAAAACATGGACGCTCTCGACTGTACTTTGCAGCCACCGTCGACGTCATGGTCATTCACCATATATATATATATATATATATAGGTCGTAGGTTCGATTCCTGCTCACAGTTGGTAATTTTTTCATCCACTTTTCTTTCTTCTTGTTTACATTCCATTGGTTTTAATAACTTCCCCTGTACATTCCTTGGCATTACTGTCTGTTATATCTCATTAATATTGTGTTAAAACACGGAAAAACGAGCCCTTAGAGGTATACACACTTCTTTCCCTTATATATATATATATATATATATATATATATATATATATATATATATATATATATATATATATATATATATATATATATATATATATATATATATATATATATATATATTAAGAGGCCTGGGGTGCGGCCTCACCGGTAACCACCGCCGGGAACGCACTCCCTCACCAGAGAAGGATTGGCCACCCTGGTGCAGTATCTGGCCACTACCTCCCACATGCATACGTCAAAGAACCATGTATGTATATCTATCTCTATACATAAAATTAAGAAAGAAAAAGAAATAGCCCAGATAAAGACCCCGGTGCGCGGAAGCGTAAATCCAACCTCTTGCTTGTGAAAGCGTGACGCTGGCCACTGATCCACGCAAGAGCACCTCTTTAAAAATTAAAAAAAGTGCCGCCATATCCACGAAGTGAATGATGATGAGTGGGCGAAGCTCCGGAGGTAAACCTGGTAAACCATGAATCCTCTGTACATTTTGCCCACTCGATTTTATTACATCGCTCCCCCTAGCGTACGTCGCCGCACTAAATCGAACGATTGCCTTCAACCAATGACACGCGCCATATGTGACATCATTCCTATTTTATAAGATCTCGCGTCTTTCATCAACTACAAGTACCGCTTTCTAGTTTATAACATCTTGCATCTTTTCATCATCAGCTACAAGTACCACCATCTAGTAAACACTACAAGAACTAAACGAGAGGTGGCTACATAGAGGAGACGGTACCGCCATCTAGTGAACACTGCAAGAACTAAACTAGAGGTGACTACATACAGGGGACGCACAGCCCACGCCCTAAGGAGCTTCGCCCCTAAAAAGGCAAGCTATTTATGTCTGTTATTAACCACTTGCGACGGCTATCTCGGGGGAACTGTCCGGTTTTCAGCATTACCAGCGAGATAGTGCAATGAGCGAGCGTCACCCACGGGCCTTTAGCGTCGCCAGATCATAACGACGCGGCGGCGCACGCTTTCATGTCCCATGCGTACTTTGCCCAGCAAAGAGGAGACAGGGCTGGACGCTTACGCGTGCGCGCGCTTATCTCGCGCTGGAAAGGATTGTATGCTTGGGCTTTCACCAGAACAATTCTGTTGTAGTTACGTTCTGTTACAATTCTGTTGTAGTACTTTTCATGCGTCATTTGTGCGTGAACAGCGCGGGGCACGTTTCGATCTGCTTGGAATTCTTCTAGTGACGCTACAATTTGTTGCAATCGCATTCATTGCTTCGCCTTTGCGACATAGCTGCGACTTTTTTCATGCTTGATCTTTACGACTACATTCTGAAAAAAAAAGTCCTCTGACTTTTTTTTGTGTGAGCCCTGGCTTTCCACGCATGTGAATGGCTTAGAAAAGACTCGTGAACTGTCTTTGGTTATAATTATGGTCCTGTTGGAGAGTCGTGGCACTCAAAAGAGAGTTCGCATGGCTCTTTAAAGCGAGTGATGTGCTTGGAAAGGGAAGACTTAGCAAAAAGAGTGGGTTACACACACCCCCTTTTTCCCCCAGAGAGTGGCTTCACGTTTCTTATTTCGCCGCCACATGTCGCTATAGGCAGTGGGCAATTTCGTATACGCTTGCATTTCTTACCGATTAATGAGCAAGCAGAAACCTCAATGAAGTTGCGTTTGAGCATCGTGTTACGACCAGTTCCTTTAAAACAGGAACCAATCATATTTTTGTGGTTTGGTTTCCTCAATCTCGAAGTTACACTATATGAGGTGTCTCTTAAGCTCAAGCATTCCCTTCTTAACACATTATTGATAAGCTGTGCTCGCGAACCTTTTCAGTGGTTGTCACTGAGAAGCGATTATGAGGCACGTAGACATAAAGCACTCCGTTTTAATTTTAACAATTCGGGGTTCCGTAATATGCGCCTGACTCTAGGATAAGGATTAGGATTAGAATGTTGTATGTATTCGTGCGGATCTAGCCTTGCGAAAGTTACAGGCACACGGGTGTTCTTTGCATTCACCTCCATCATGCGGCCACTATGGCTAAGCATCAAACCATTCTTCTTAAGCTCAGCTGTGCAGCAGTGTAACCTCAAGCCATTGCAGAGCGTTATGCTGCACTTTTCATTCCCATCCATGGGGAGGTCGACTTTATCAGATTGTGTGCCTTGTAAGGGGTCTTTGCCATTGGCTAGTCACTTTCGCCATTGATATATCGGGCATCAGGGCTGGCTGCAATTAGCTCTTCGGGATTTCGGGATTTGAAAGCTGGGTTTCCTGCGGTGTAACTTACCTTATGATGTCGTAGTCATTTTTGTTTTTTGCAAACAACGCGTGACAGCACAGTTTACTTGCGATATGGCGTGGGTAGTGTAGAATCGCCTGTAGTTATATAAACATTCATCACAGAAGCCGCAGCATCTGTAACTAGAATTTTTTTGTCGTTTGAGCAGTGACTGCCGTCGCCATGAGTAATACGAGCGTGCAATACTTTAAAGCGCACGTGCCCTTGATGCAAAGGGCCTGTTTTCGAACGTTCTGTAAATGCGTCAGTTAAGAGCTAAACATGCACCAACTCTCTTATTGTCCTACCTCTCGCTTTTCGTCATCTGGAAGTATCGCGCTGCCCAGCACAGACGTTCGATTGAAGACGGTGCGAGTTTGTTCGTCCTTAAATGTGGTCCACTTGAATTTGGTTACGTTCTTCCATATTTCTTTGTTAAGGCGACTCAACTCGAGACTCGCTTCAATCTGGAAAACAAACAAAAAGCAGAGATGATGATGGTCACAGAGAAGTAGACGTCGCGTGTTATGTTCCTCGAACAGCTCACATGCCAACGAAGTGACCCTGGTTTGAAAAACCACGAGCCTGCGTTGCTACAAGTGTAGCCTAATTTCTTGCATGTGAGAGGCTGCGAACAACTACGCACACGAGTCATAATATAGATAGATAGATAGATAGATAGATAGATAGATAGATAGATAGATAGATAGATAGATAGATAGATAGATAGATAGATAGATAGATAGATAGATAGATAGATAGATAGATAGATAGATAGATAGATAGATAGATAGATAGATAGATAGATAGATAGATAGATAGATAGATAGATAGATAGATAGATAGATAGATAGATAGATAGATAGATAGATAGATAGATAGATAGATAGATAGATAGATAGTAGTTCCATTGCTGCAGAACTTTCCCCGCTGCACCTCGGCAATTTGAGATGTTTTAGAAAATGCTCGGGAATTTAATGTAGTGCTCCTCTCAGTATTGGTTCCATACCTGCAATGCCAGTGATAGAGCAAGCCGACCATTAACGGTATATTCACTAATGCGCATTTGAAATATTGCAATGTTCTCCCTACGTTAGTAGGTAGATGCACCAAACTATGTAAATTATGAATGCTATTTTATGATATCTGTTCCATATTTTGGTTTCCAGCACAACAAAAGGTCTTACTAAGGCCATCTGATAAGAGAGATAGAAACGAGAAAAAAGGAAGGCAGGGAGGTTAACCAGATGCTAGTATCCATCTGATAAGCTCTGGTCTATGCGAAGCAGGGTCAATGTTCCCTTCATTCCGCTTTGTCACAGTTGACACTGCCGATGAGATAAATGACGCCCAATAGTGCAAGTGTAAACTTAGCTTACACTATGTGGCGAATCTTCATCAGATGATTGTTTCCACCTCCTGATGTTCACTCAACAGAACAAGACAAATTAGCTCGGCTTTTTGTTGTGAAGCTGTCTTTCATACAGGCTGGGCGCGGATATGCTGACGAAACCTAGACCACCAAACTTGGCTACCATTTGTTCCTACTGACCGCAAATAAACAAGTTTAATGTAAACAGAGATTAGCCTTTACCCACAGATTTGCTATGTTTTGTCTTTGCTCTAGGTTACTGCAAGTTCACACACTTAAGCGTAAGATACGCCATACGCTTGAGATTTCTTCACTTGCATGCAGAAACCTGGAAAACCTACAAAATGAGTGCGCAAAGAACATTGAGGATGTACTTAAGTTTGTCTTCTCATTCGCAACTGCCGGGAACCAATGCATTTTATAAAATGTAATATATTAGAGGGTCACTACCTGATCGCTTATGAATAAAACCAGCTTAACCTTTCACATCCTGAGTTCAAGCTCGACAATTTGGTACCCCAATTTTTACAAATGTAACTGTCAAACTGGAACGTAGCGGAATGGTAACCGACGTTGGGCTTTTGATTATTGTGGTATCTTTATTTGTTGTGAAGAGAAGATCTATTGAAGCAATGTCCAAGTGATCATGTATAGAAGATAACAGCTGATTCATGCTCCGTGGGAAACTAACGCCGCCTGATATCGCAATCAACAGTGAAATACACCTCCGAGGTATATTGCCCGTGGGCACCTCCGTCAGCTCGAATAAGAGCATCAGAAACGTGAAGGTATGTGCGCCATTCTAAGGTGTATAAAAATGGAAATGTCATATTCTGAAACTTGAAAGCACACAACCTTACCATTTTCATGTCGCTGCAAAGGTCGCTGTTACGATAGGCTGTTAGTGTGATAGTGGTTTTTACGGTATGAAACCTCTGTATAGCGTGAAGTAAAGCATACCCCCGTATTGTGTAGTCATATACGTTCACCTATATTTCATTCCTACAGTGGTTTCATTGAAGGTGCGCCGTGCTTTAAAGTAGAAGCATGCCTGCGCTTACAGATCTGTTCTTGTTGTGCTCCGTGAGGTTGACCGAGTGGTTCCACCGTGCGTAAGCGACGTCTAGGCAGGACTCGGTGAGCATCACTTCGACGTCCTTCAGGTAAGCCTTGGCTTGTTCCTCGTCTTCCAGGGTACCCTCCACTGGAACTCTCGCGGCTCCGGTCACGTGGCACAAGGAGAGCGCCGCGGCCAGGAGCAGCCCGCCGAAGACCGCAGACGCCCTTCCGTGGGTGGCCATTGCGGTGACTCGTCCACGGCGTTGACGCACTGGCTACACTGCGCCGGACAGCGGCAGATTTTTGGCTTTTTAAACAGCCCGCTCCGTGGTAGTAACTGCTTTTTCTTCTGTTTCTTTACCAGAGCAAACCGGTTTCCGGGTTCGACAGCCTCACCTGCATGGCGTCGTAGCTTGGATACTACGATATTCGGAACAGGTTGAGGGCCAGCCCAGACCTGGAAACCAGTGCATTATCTGACGGACGACCTCTCCCTGCTTTGGTTTAGTTTTTTTATGCAGTCCCACTCAGTATCTACACTCACGGACGGAGAGGACTTCTTTTTTTTGCGTTCTTCGCTTCGGAGAAATTTCGAACACGACCCGATCAGCCGGGACTAGCAACTTTCGTCTTCATCCTCATCGCGTTGAATGATCGAAACTTAAAACGACATAATTGGCGCAATGAAAGACACCTGGCGCTACAAAGGAAAGATAGAAATTGTCAATAATAGTGCTTATTCCCTTTCTGAGTATTATAAACTTCAACTTGTTCGGCACTTATTTCTTCTAGACAAAAGTCATGAAGGCAACGAACTATAGGAAACATGATTGCACGCCTGAAAAAAGAGCTGTAAGAGATGTTCCAGAATTCAAAATTAATCAGATCATGCTCAATACTTAATAAATTGGTTATAGTTCTGCAGTATGAAAAAATGCACAATATATAGGCATCATCTAGTGATGACGAAGCACTTGAGTTGTTTCATGTTTCATTGAAACGGCGGTAGTACTGCTATATATTGATAACTCGAAGAAAAGAAATTCAGTACTTCTCATAAAATTGCAGATCCTATAGATATCTGTCTGTTGTGCCCACAAGACATCTATCTCGCAGATTGTCAAAGTTTGTCAATAAAGCAGTCATCTAAACATGGGCTAGCGTGCTGCACTCAATGTCAAGACCCACAACGCTGTCCCGAAATGTCGCAGCAAGCTTGAATCCCCGTGTGATATAACTTACGTTGCCTATCGTCCTGGTTGCTCAAGATTGATTCACAAAACAGCGATTTCATCGTCTCACCTGCGTATTCGTACTATATACTCGCTTCAGCGACATCTGAAATAATGCCACGCTTTTTTGCGCTAACAGTTCTTCACAAGGAGGACAGCCCATGCACTCATACACCACCCCCACCACCGCTGCAGCTGTGATTGACCCTGCGATCTTTGGATCAACAGCTGAGAACCTCAACTACTGCAGCTCAACCGCAGCGGACCGGACATTAGACCTGCGTGTGTGTCTCGTGGTAAGGACTCACCAAACTCTTTGCAGATGAAGCTCCCTCTGTCCGCTTTCTCCACACACGAAAGTCTATGCGCTTGTAAGTAGCGAGAACGCTGTTTTCTTGGGCGACTGTTTACCTGCACCCGCCGCGGAAGCTTGGTAATCGGCCTTTGCTCGTGACTGAATAAATATTGAAAGGATGCCAGTGGACGTGACCGGTTAACGCAATTGAGCGCTTCGCTGTGCCCACTCATCACGATGGCACGAGTGGGCGGGCATTGATATTCAGAATGGGTCCCCATCAGAGGCTCGAAAAACAAAGATTATGTCACATTGTGCAAGTTTCGCTAACTTCTTCTGTGTGGAGTGCATACACGAATCACGAGTGGCGAAAATTCTCCTTTTTTCTTTCTGGCAGACTGCAGTGCGAACATTTATTCGATGTTGATTGAGCATTGTTGCACTTTCTAGTCTGTCGCAAGTATCGGCGGCTGCTGCACGCTTTTTTTTTGTTTTATTAATATTCTTTATTGCTGGGTAGTTTCGTCAATTCTTGCGCTTTCGTTGTAGTTCCATACTTGTTTCCTTTAAACCTCGTACCAAAACATACATTGAAGTGGTTCATGAAAAGGATTCAATAAAATTTATAGCCAGTACCAAATTTGTGAAATCTAAGTGGACAGTGGAGCTAGCAAGCAAGAGCCACGATCTGGTTAAAGAAGATTGAGTTATTCCTTAATCATTCTTCGACCAATTTTTTTTATACATTACTACAGTCACTTCTTTCCTCTATCATTTTAAATGCGAAGCATTTCTTAGCGAACTTCGGCGACTTTGAGCGTATCTATCTATCTATCTATCTATCTATCTATCTATCTATCTATCTATCTATCTATCTATCTATCTATCTATCTATCTATCTATCTATCTATCTATCTATCTATCTATCTATCTATCTATCTATCTGCTTACGTTTGGGTGCTCTCCTGGTCATCCCCTTGACTTGGCGTGAACGCAAATTACCATGGCCGAGCTGTGATGTCGGTATGTCCTGGGAGATGGCAAACGTGGTGGCGCTACAATCCTCCAAAGTTTTGCCCCGCCGCGGTGGTCTAGTGGCTAAGGTACTCGGCTGCTGACCCGCAGGTTGCGGGTTCGATTCCCGGCTGCGGCGGCTGCATTTCCGATGGAGGCGGAAATGTTGTAGGCCCGTGTGCTCAGATTTGGGCGCACGTTAAAGAACCCCAGGTGGTCGAAATTTCCGGAGCCCTCCACTACGGCGTTTCTCATAATCATATGGTGGTTTGGGGACGTTAAACCCCACAAATCAAATCCTGCAAAGTTACCATGGGAGTGTACAATGGTTTGACGAATATGACGTGGTGGTCAAGACAAGAATAATGTCACAATTCCGTCACGTACGGCGTCAAACACTTCCCGCCAGACAGTGGCACATACTCACGGGCTGTTATGTGCCGCAGGAATGCCGGTATGTGGCACAGGTAAGTTACACTTAGCATCTACCCAGGAACGACAAGAACACACATGCGCAATTTCAACGCGCGAGCGTTATGAAATAACCGACAATGATAGCGTCGACCCGACAAATGCAAAGAATAAATGCCAGGGCCCCAGCTGGAATCAAACCCAAGCATTTTGCGTGGCAATGAAGCATTTTACCACAGAGCTACACCAGGCCTAAGGACTACTTTTCAAATAGACACTAACTTTCGTGAAACGTCAATAGTGGTTGCAGTGCTGCCTACCCAATTTTACAAACATTACATATGTACTCCTTTGGTACAGCCATCACGTCGGGTTAACGTCAGTTGTTGTTAGTTGCAATGCGCTGAAGTTGCCCCGCCGCGGTGGTCTAGTGACTAAGGTACTCGACTGCTGACCCGCAGGTCGCGGGATCGAATCACGGCTGCGGCGGCTCCATTTCCGATGGAGGCAGAAATGTTGTAGGCCCGTGTGCTCAGATTTGGGTGCACGTTAAAGAACCCCAGGTGGTCGAAATTACCGGAGCCCTCCACTACGGCGTCTCTCATAATCATATGGTGGTTTTGGGACGTTAAACAACACAAATCAATGCGCTGAAGTTGATTTATGTAGCAGTGTCCAGGGCCAGCCTCCTCGCGAGCATCTGCACCCCATATCAGCTTCTGGTGTTACTAATACGCATGTTCCAGTTGGCACTGTTGCGCAAGTGCAAACAAATGGTTATATACACATCTGCAACTCTTCAACATATGTCTGTGCGTACTACATTTGCACATATATTTAGCGACATTTCATGACGTGTCACTCAATAAAGAAATATTAACAAGGTCACCTTACCTCCGCATGCTTAGTATAACCATGGTCCCTCAATACTTTTGAGGGACCATGGTATAACGTCAATGTCCAGGTAAGTGGGATCTGCCGCTTTTTTTTCATTTCATGCCACCATCGCAACATACGTTTCGCTGATGCAGTTGCTCTCAGTCTTTCTAAGGGAAGAAATGTGGATTTCATGCACTTGTTTACTAACGAATCAGTGTTACCAATCGCCTCCACAGCGGCGTTTGTCATACTAAGTTTGAAGACCAGCGATCCACAGGCGTGCGTGGGGTTCCTATTCAGCGGGGGAGGGGGGGGGGTGTCGCAATGCCCCCTCCTATATGTTAATATAGAGGGCTGACAATGCGCCCCCCCTCTTAATATGTCAGTGTGTAGGGCCCGTGCGCACGCCTATGCAGCGAATGCTTCCGTCTAGAACACCGAACAACATCGACGGCGGCAGAGATTTGGCAATTCGCGAGGTAACTCGATGCCCATCGACGCAGCATCCTCACAGCTCGACTGTATTTTGTGACTTTAAACCAGCACTTCAAAGTAATAGATTCGGTGCTAAAACGAGGGCCATATGACCTTCTTGCTCAAGAAGTGGTCGAATTCCAGGACGTGTTCCCGAAAACGGGCCATTGTGTAAAGTATAAGTGGATTTCAGGGCACTGCGGCCTGCATGGAAACGAGCAAGCCAACGCGGTGGCAAAAATGGCCCACATCAACGCCACAATATTGCCAATTCCATTTTCACGGCTGGACACGAACGCTGTTATGTATGCTCTCCTCTGCGAAAATGCTATAGCATATTCGTCTTCGCCATGTAATTGCCGCTGCCGACTTTACTAACTAGACCCCGACACTTAAGTTGAAATACCGTCGATCATGAAAAGGTGCAGTTCAAGCCTAATGCACAGACTGCGCCTAGGCGTGGCGTTCCCTCGTCGCCGCCTGAAACTTATCGGCCGTGCCGAGAGTCTGAACTGCGAGGTATGTGGGATTCCGGAGACCAACGAACACCTCTTGTACGTCTGCCCGCGATATTACACACACACAAAATCAGTTGCCACCTTTTCTGTAGACCCGTGTGCTCAGATTTGGGTGCACTTTAAAGAACCCCAGGTGGCCTAATTTCCGGAGGCCTCCACTACGGCGTCTCTCATAATCATATGGTGGTTTTGTGACGTTAAGCCCCACATATCAATCAATCACCACCTTTTTATTGCATACTGTCAAGCAACAAGTATCGGAGAAAGCTGTGACACCTACGAGCATGACGTCTTCAGTGCAATATTATCAAACCTTTGAACATGTTTTTGCGTGAGACAGAACTCTAAAAAGACAGTAAATAACTTTTGGGCATTCAAGGTTTGGATCCATCATCGCATTTATTCTCGTCATCATCACTTTCTTTCTACTTTCTTTACCACTTCCTTCCATT